TAATAATTAATAGATATTAGGGTCAAAACATTTTTCTTCATAAAGGCAGGCTTAATCTCTAAAATGTTGGACATTTTTTTTTCCTAAAACTGAAATCTGAATGTGTTTCTTTGTTTTCCTCCGTTCTGATCAGGTAGTCAGGACGGTTTGACACCCCTGCTGTTACCTACCCGAATAAGATCTCTAGTAATGTCTCTCGTGCATTTAACGTTTTGATGCTCATGACATTCTCTGCAGAACGGGGTGAATTAGCGTTAGCTCTTTTCTAATTTTTTTTTTCATTTGTTTTTCATTCAGATGCAACAGAAAGAATTGGCATACCTAATAATCCAGAGCTGAAGATATCTTAGATCCAACGCGACCTTCTCAATAAACAAGATGACTCTACCTAGCAGTGAATCGACTATGATTCGAAATGTCAAGTTGGAAGTTGACGATGAAAATCGCATGGATGTGGATATGGTGGAAGAACCAGCCAATCCCATGGATGGAATTGATTCAGAAGAAGAAGAAGGACAAGTATCTGAGGAAGGAGAGATTTGGGACTCAGGAGGGCCTGATTCTCCTGTTCAGCCTAATGTAAGTCAGCTATTCATAAGATTTAAGATCTTGTGATGAAAGAGAAATAAACTTTTCTTTTTATTTTACTTAATTTTTTTTTTTTTTCTCAGCCAGCCCCTAAGGACCAATTGATGAAGAAGTATCCTACCTGCACCCCTTTCTTCCATTTGAAGCATCCAGAACCAAAACCGGCAATCTTCATTGCCTTGTCTAAAAATTGTGCAATCATTATTAGTTTAAGATTGAAAGAACAATGAAGCCTCCATATTTTTGTTTTCTTGTGAATTGTCTGTTATCAAGCAAGAAATTTAGAAAAATGTTGAAAACAGACAGAAGTTTTGGTTGCTCCTAGCAGAAAAGTAGAGGATTGCACAATTTCTAGACAGGGCAATGGAGATAGCCTGTTTTGGCTGTAAACGCCTCGTTCCTTACTAACAAAACTCCTTCTATTCGTAACACTCGGGGGGGTTATAACACCATCTCCACTTGTGCACTCAGAATTTTATAATTTCCTCTCTCCCCTTAATTTAACTTTAAATCCATTTAATTCCAGGTGTTTCCAACGTTCTCCACCAAATACTGCATAGTCTCCCATCCCCTCATACAACGATAGTCTATCTATTTTATCACTACTGCTGTACTCTGTTTCCTCTCCTAACTTTTTTCTTGTCCTCATCGTAACTTCAATAATCCTCACATCCCTCAAGTCAGTTAGGTCCATTTTAACTGTGCGCCTTAAGTCTATTTTGAAAATGTTATATCTGATTTATTGTTAGACTGATTGACATGTGATTGGACGTTAGATGATAATTTTATCCATCAGCCAGAAATTTATACACCATTCTCTCACAGCTAACATTTTCTGTTTTCAGAATGCGAAAACCCCAACCGAATCAAACCGAAATTTCAGAGGTTTTACAACGATCCTTGAGGAAGCGGAAGAACCTGATGCTGCCAAATTAGAAGAACGAGCGAAACGTTTTGGACTGGACCCATCTGAGCCAAGACCAATTTTGAGTAAAAAAATCCGCAATCTCTATGAAAGGTATTTCAAACATCTTCTTTTTTTAAGAGGTCCTCAATAGTAAATGGGAATCTTTTGGACCTTGTCAAAATATTCACATATGAGAACTTTGACTAAATATCTTCTCCTCAAGGAACTATAAACTGTGACAAAATCAGAAGAGATATTGTACATTTTCCTAGAAACCATCTACTTAAAGTAGCAATTTTAAGAAATGCCAGCAATGAATCACTTGAAATATGAGAAAAGTATGGTGTGTCAGGAACTTTTTAAGAATAGGAAAAGATTAGGGGATGTATGAAATAAATTTTGAAGAACTCAGTTGAAATATGAGAAAAGTATGGTGTGTCAGATCTTAACAAGAACAGGAAAAAAATAGGTGATGTTTGAAATAAATTTTGAATAACTCATATAATATACACATGAAAAAAGGGTAGGTAAGTAATTACCAATGCTATGCATGGAAATAAAAAAAACACAACCTATCTGAACAACTTCATTTTTCATGAGAAATATCAGCAGAATTAGTCGATTAATGGTGTTACAATTTTCTGGTATGTTCCAAAATTTATTCAGATTTTGATAATTGATTTTCGCTAACAAAATTTGAATTCCTCTTTTTCATCCCCATTTTGAAACCCCTTTTTAAATGTTAAACTGACCTTTAATTTTTATTATTATTTTTTTCTTTTCTTTTTGTTCCACAGCATGGGAGTTGATCCTCATGACAAACTATTCAGACTGAATACGATCCACATGGAAGGAACTGAAAACATGAACACCCAGGATGTGTTTGATTATTTCAAAGAGTATGCACCCATTGCAGTAGAGTGGATCAAAGATAGTTCATGTAAGTTCATTGATTTTTAGTCGTGCGGCAAAGCTGTATAGACTCTAGGTTTCGCTGGAGGGTAAAAACTGTCTACTCTTTCAGGCTAAGTCCATGTTGATAATTTTAGGTGAAGGAAGTCAGAAATTTTCTACACTGTATAGAAGTCAATGTAGGAAAGAATGTCTAGTTTTGTTTTGTTCCTTCCTTTTTTTCTGTCAGTCTAGAAAGCATGGAAAGTCAGGGAATTTTGAACGTAGCTTGATGATTTTCAGCTGGTGCCATTTGAAAGAGTACAGGCAACGTAAAGGTCCGTACGTAGAGTCCAACGTAGAGTGTCTTTCCCCATAATTTGCATCTCTAGAAGTGAACAATTTGTTCCTAGTCTTGCAAAATTCAGCTTAATTAAAAGAAAAACTAACAAAGTGAAAGTTTTGCTAAAAAGTCAAAAGTTTTGGCTTGTAGGTGTAGGAGCCTTTTATCAGAGGTTCTTTTTCTTTTGTATGTTTCATTCGAATTTTAAATACAATGTTATTTGACAATAAATTTTATTTAGTTGCAAACAATTGTGGCCCTTGTCAAAAATTTCTAAAGTAATGCTTACATCACAGTAATTAGGAAAACAAGCTATTCAATTTGGGCAAAAAACCATAGGAAACAAAAGGTATATATGAGAGATTTCCATTAAAATATGGGAAATGTTTGACTCCTCACAGTAGTTGGCAGTCAAATTTTGGACTGCCTTAATGTTTTAAGTTTCGAATTCTGCCTATTATAATCATTGTGCAAACAAACAAACTTTGGAGTAAACTTGTAGAATTTAAAATTTGTGAGAAAGCGAGGCTTGTACAAGGAAGCAACCCTGTGGGCACATAAGTTTTAAATTTTAAGTAATGGCGATCTATTTTAAAGTCACATTGATGCACCTAGGAATTCAGTCTCTATCTCTCTTGTAATCAAATCTTGATTATACAGTCAAATCATCAAATGAGATAAGCCTATGAAGAATCTTTCTCTATTTTTTGTCATCTTTCCAAAAATTTTAGATTAAGTAGAAGACACTTATTGAGTCATGCACTATTTCATAAGATAAATTATGAATGAACAGATAAATGCATAATTAATTAAGTAATAGCTTTTTTAAACCTCTTTAAAGACCAGATTTTAAAGAGACAAAAGATAGAGAATTATAGAATATGCAAGTTGTAGAAAAATAGGTCCTTTATTCTATCTCGAAATTTTTTAAGGGAAAGAGCATGCCTACTTTTTATTCACTTATTCTTTAAGCTGTATCTAGACTTAATACTCATTCTAATGTTTGCAGGTAATGTTGTGTGGATAGAGGAAATTACAGCGGCTCGAGCCCTCATGGAAACCTCAAAGAAAATTATCACTGACTCAAGATCAAACGGAACCATAAAATATAACGAAGAATTTTTATCTGATACTGAAATAGCTCCAAGTAGTAATAAAAAGGTAAATTAAAACTCTGTCCAAATATCCAACTGTTAAGATAAATGGACATTCTTAGCTCCATCTTTGCTGTGAAAAAAAAAATCATCACCTTCAAGCCGAAGAATCACAAGCACCACTTGCTCTCAGGCACTATGTTGCCAAATTTCTTAGACTTTTCCAATTTTTTATGCTATGACTGTTAAACAGAGTCATTGTAAAATTTTAAATAATATTTCTTTTGTCATCAAAATTAATCCCTGAATATTTCATAAAAGCATGTGCAAAAGTTTTAAAGAAGAAATTAAAACAATATTGAGAAATTCAGCAATATAGCGTCTCAGCGTAAATGGCGCTCGTGGTACTTTAGCTGGAAGGTGACAAAATACGAATAAACTCATCAGATTATTTTTCTTCTGTTGGTCAACGCAAGGACATGCCTTCTTGTAACCTATTTCAATGAAGCTTTGTATTAAGTAAGGATTGCCAACCCTCTTTAATTCAGTCAGCCATGCTACAAAAAAATGGTACCTAAAAATTCAGATGTTAGGTCTGACATTTTTTTTTTTTTTTTTTTGAGAACTCCTGAATATTTTTCCTGGAAAGTTTTAGGCTCTCAGCATTAAATTGCAAATATTCTGAAAATATTAGAGGAACAATGTGTAAGATTTTTACCCCTGTAGTCAAGGTTTCTGCAAAAGAGTACGGCAATATTTAAAGTTTCGTACAGCGCGCTGAGAAGACACTGCAGCGTCTTCTCAGGGCGAAGCAGTAGTGGTCTTAAGATTACAATCAATTACTCATGGATCAATCTCTTCCATTAGGTATATCCCTTAGGGGCATAAAGAAGAGTGTATGGGGGAGAAAGCATCTGCTTAGTTCTGGAGGCTACTTATAGGGAGGGGGGGGATAATGGAGAAAAATAACTCTAATTATGTGCTCGCAATGCAGCGAATATTCCACTCTCTATAATGCCTTTGGTTTTTCAGGATGAAGACAAAGACGCGGTGAAAGTGTCCGACCTAAAGACAACTGTTCCACCTGGTATTTGGAGGAAAGGCAAAGATTGCCCAAAATCAGACTCCATTTTCCTTCGTTTTGCCACATTTGCTGATAAGAAAGTCATGAACAACATCAAGAACAATGACTACATCAATAAATTCGGTAAAAATTTCTCTCCCTCTTTATGTCAATTACTTTTAAGTATTCCTTCAACATGTTGGCTGTCTTATCATATCAATCCACAGCAATGCCATCTTAATGATAGTTAAAGTAAAAAAGTGTGGATCTCAGATTGCGAGACTGTAAGTCTTCACTTATGTTTTATTTCTTCGAAGGAAAATCAACCAACAGTTTCTATTGAAATTTCCTGTGAATTTTGCTCAACATTTCTATTTACAAAAATCACTCAAAATCGGAAGGAAAAATTTGCATTAATTTTCCTTTGAGGAAAATAAAACATGATCCTACATTTTTAAGCGTCGCAACGGGTCTTTTGCATGTAAAAGATGCAGCCAAGTAAATTGGCTCTCCTCCGATGAAATCTCGCAAAAGTCTCAATGGGTGTGTAAAAACAGTCTGAAATTAACTCTTAAGCACCCATTCTGTGCAGTTTGCAACATGCTTTTCCAAATTTTGGGCAAAATTATTTGAAAATTATTTAAATTGCACAACAGCCATTAGAACATTTTTGGGAAAATTAGATGGTGGTAAAACTGAAAAACAGGACCCAGATCTGTCACTGGTAAGTACTGCTCACTTCTGCTGACATCACATCTGTCTATATCTATGCCTCATAACAAAAACACCGACAGCTTCATTCTTACCACAAATGGTGAAATAAGTTTCCGTGTCATTGACCGTACAGACTGTGATGGTCTATATGAATCATGTCGTCACTCGTCTTTGAAAGCCGAGATGAAAAATTTCATGAAAATTAGTGGTATTGGACTTTCAAATGTAAAATTTCTGCAATGGTCCTTGTGAGAGCTCATGCAAATCTGAATCGTACTTGTAATATCACGAGAAAATTTCAACAACTGTCCTATCTCTGTATTTTTATCTCAGTTTGGTAATCAACGCATCAACCGCTTTCTCTCCTATTTTATCATGAAATTAAGTTTCAAAAGATGGTTTCTGTATGTTATCATATGAGTTCCTGAAATATTTGTATGTGCTCAAAGTCTTTGATTTCATCTGCGCACAATCTTGTGACATGGTATGACTGGCAGTGTAACACAGTAAATGGTTCAATTTACAAACCTTAAACATGAACTTGAGTCTTCATTCAGTTCTTATAACCTACTACAACTTCTCAAAAAATGCTATTTTGACTCATCAAATTTTGAAAAATGTATCTTGCTCTGTGCTTTTCAGGCATGATCTCAAGTCATCGTCAGCCGCCGTTTGGAAATGAACGAATGTTCAGAAGACCACATTACGATGTTGGCGATGAGGTAGCAGCTACCGACGCAAGGGCAAAACTGTTGAGTAAAACGGGTAATCCATGGAGTAGCATAGCTTACACATGGGGAATGTTCGACCGGACTAAATATCCAGTGAAGAACTGTAAGAATGTTATTTTATGCCCATTTTCCCTCCACTTTTTTTTTTTTCTAAAGCATTGCAAATTTAAAAAATTGTAATATTACTTGATTGAAATGAAAAAACTTTTTCTCTCTTTCAACACACCTATGACTTGTGAAAATATTTATCATCAATAAAAAGTAAACTATTAAACAAGAAGCTCTTTCAGCTATGCATTGTAAGTTTACAACTGCCTAAGTTGCCGTTAGTGACAGAATATATTGCTCAGTTCACCTGTAGCTTCACGCTAGCTTGCCTGCACAGTTTTTGATTTCAATGTCCAAAATTCTCAACTTGAAAAATTTACTTACAGTTCCACCTGAGAAAAAAGAAGAAGACAATTTCTTCGCAGAGCTTCCCAAACATTCTCCACTCTCAACTAAACTTGGAATCGTTTCTGAAGACGGAGAAGAATGGAGATCACGGATTAGAGCTCCCAGGATGAGGATGCATGCTGATGATGAAGCTTCAGCACCTCGCAGGGTTTTGAAACCCAGGTTCGTTTTGGGAAATTTTTATAAATCATTTGTCTTCGGATATTTTTTTCTCCCATTTAGTCAAATTTTTTGATGTCAGATGTAAACAAGGAAATATTTGTAATATATACCATGCACAATGTTTATTACACCACCCAGCAGCCAATAATTAAGCAAAATAAAAGTCACTTCTCAATGAAAATGGTGATTTTAAAAAATTTAAATTTACTACCGTTGTCAGGACACTGGTTGAAGTCTCAAATTGTCTCTAGGTAATGTAAAAATAGTCCAACAATCTGGAATATATGTAATTAATGAGAGATTTTGAATGAATTTTTTCTCAGCTCTCCTAGCTCCGGAGAAGTTCAGGGCATCATGTATTTCATGCATGATTTTTTTCTGGAAGATTGCCGGCAAGATGTCTAATACCAAGAAAAACAAACCTAGAAACAAGGTTGGTGAAATTCCACCAGGAAAATATGGACCAAAATAAGCTAGGCTTTCTTTCTGTCACTGTCTGTTAGCTCTAGGGATCTTTCTGTTCTTTCAATTTTTATTTTCCATGTATGAGCACTGTAAAAATAAAAATTACCTAATCATTTGTTGGTTCCTTCTTATTTCAGCCGGAGATCCAACGTCATGAGCAGACTGGGTGGAAAAGAAGTTCTAGAAATTGCCCCTCTTCAGATCAAGGTCGAACGAGGCTCATCAATCAGTGATAACGAAGGAGTGACAGAAGCGGTAGTCAGTGATTCCGCTCCAATTGAGGAGGAAGAAGAGGACTTGGAGGAGGATTCCCCGTCAACGTTGCAGATCACGAGAGTCATCTCGCCTGTCCAGAGGAAAAGGCCGACTCGCAAAGCAGTGAGACGCAAGAAAATCAAAAAGCGCAAAGTAGAATCTTCAAGCTCAAGCTCAGACTCCAGTTCGGATGATGAAAGCTCCAGTGACTCGAGTAGCAGTTCTAGTAGTAGCGGTTCAAGCAGCGATAGTTCCTCCAGTAGTAGTAGTTCGGGTAGCAGCAGTTCAAGTAGTGATAGTAGTAGCAGTTCTAGTTCTAGTGGTAGTTCTAGCTCCAGCAGCAGTTCTTCGAGTAGTGATAGTGAATCGGACACGGAGAAGGTCGCTAGGAAGAAAGTCAAAGTCAGCAAATCACGGAAGTCAGTTCTGCAAGGTGCTCAAAGTCGTGATAGACAAAGAGTCCTCTCTGAGTTTAGTACAAATTACGACGATGAAGAGGATGACTTCGATCTCCCCATAAAACAACGAAGTGCAGTACATTGCGTTTCGATGCCAGCAGTGCGGCAGCCCCACGTCAGAGACTTAAGATTTACGATAAAGAATTCAAGGAATAATAAGTTGTCAACAAACCGCTTCAAGCCCAAACGACTGAACGATCGGCGTGATGGCGCACAACGCCGGGAAGGGCGCTTCCATGATGTGCGACGGGACCCCCCACTGGGTGGAATAACTGATCTCCGGGAGAAGCTTCGCAACAGAAAGATGAACAAAGTTTCACGGTTGAAGGAAGACCGGTTCGACATAGATTCGCCACTTCAAATAGAGGTTGATAATGATCTGTACTACCGCAGATAAATATTATATTTCGAGTGCAACTCATTTTGCTACAATTTTTTTTTTTTTGTGATGTGCGTAGTTACAACCCTGTAATTACGAGGTTCTCAAATTTCTCCCAGGAAGTCAGTGAGCTCTCTGAGTGAAGATGAAACAAGCAGTCAATTGAAAACTCGTCATATCTCAAAATACATTCATTCCTATGTGTAAGAAACAAAATTTATCCTTAGCTAACTGTATGTATAACAGAAGATGATGTATCAAACAAAAGTTCGGTGGATTTTTGCATCCTTTAAAGGAAAACATTTTTTGAGAATGGGCGAGTTTGGATTTTGGCGATCAGATCTATTTTGATCGTTTCCATTATTTGATAAATAGATTTGTCAATCACTTTCCAAGCGTAATAATTAATCCTCTTGATCAACATGTTGGCAAGAAAGGCACTATTTAGCCGAAATAACGATGAAACAGGCTCGTTGCTCAGCACTTAACGCTTCTCCAAATTGCATTCCTGTTTCTATTTTAACTGGATTCATAAATGATATGATTGTTTAACCTGGAGTTATAAAACGTGCATCTAATATATTTATTCATGGGTAAACATTTTTATCAATCTACCAGTTGATTTTCACCTGGGCCTGGAAAATACTTTCAAGTCGATGCTCATCATTCATTTTTTTTGTTGTCTTTTATTAATTATCATTCAATGGGGGAGTAATCAAACTGGTCCCCTGCTAAATTCTTAAGACTTATAGAGTGTCACTTAATAGTTTATGAGATACTGATTTTTTATCAAAAACATTTTTTTAATCGATCCAGCAGATAATAAAGCTTGCGGCAATCATCTTTGTATTGATTGTGTAATTATTTAATGACCTATTAATGGCATGAACATTCGCAAAGAAAAAAATTAATCAAAAAGAGTTTACTGTTGCTCCCAGAATGATCATTATGGTATCGAATGTCCTGTGTCAATTTTATCTTGGTAGTTTAACCATCCCAATCAGTTCAGTAATACAATTAAAAAAAAAAGACATTTCAAATGCAACATTTCAAAATTAGTGCACATTTTTATTTTTTAAAATAAATACAAATCAGCTGACTTGTTGGCTTCGAATTTTCCCTGGTTCATTTTTAATGTTTCATCCGAGTATAACTTTTATGCCGTTTTGCTTTTTTGTTTTTCTTTCAAGAAATGAAATACGTGCAAGAATTTTCATGAGTTGTATCACAATTTTTAACTTTCGTCGTGAATCGGCAATTTCCTTTTCTCTTCTTTTTCATTATGCATTTCATTTTGTTTGAGAAAATGTAGGCAAAAAAACGTTGTCTAATCATCAAGAATCATTATTTTTAAACCTCAAGGTGTTTTTTAAAAAGTGAGAATGTCTGTCAAACTATTGGACAATATTCAGTAAGAAAGATAAAATACATTTAAAGTTGTATTCCTTAACTTGGGTACCACCCCCAATTATGAAAAAAATTTGTATACCTCCATATGATTAGTAATGCGCGCATAATTGTGTCGTTTGTTTCACAATCTGAAGCATTCGATTTTAAGATTATAGCTTGTTAGGATGTTCTTTTTCAAGTAACAGCTGCTGCTGAAATAAAACATTCCACCCGCTGATTCCTGATAAATTAAGACTTGAAATTAACTTTTCTAGCACTGAAATGAAAGTTTGTTGAGTGAAGTATCAGTTCCAGGTGGGTCTTATCCTCTCCTTTTGTCAGACAGAACGATGAAGTAATAACCCAAGGAAACTAATTATGAACATTATGTGGTGCAATATGTGACATCAACTCCAAAACGAAAACTCTTCCAGGAAGTTGAAGGAAAAACTTTGCTGTATATTAATTCAAAGACTGTTATTGAAATAGTTGAAAATTTAATTTTCTTCAAGCACTTTTCAAAAATAGCAAACCAATATTTTTCAGAATTATGTTCGGTGCATTTCTAAGGCTTATTTCTGAAGCGCTCAAGGAACGCTTTGCATAAAATTTTATCCAATATCAGCTTGATTGTATCTTTTACTGTCCAATGGAAATGCAGTGGGTATAGCATATATCATGATGGAGAAAAAAATCTCAGGCTGGTTCAAACTACATATTATGTATGTTGTTCCGTTTTCAGTTTTGAAAATCAAGCATGAAAGGAGGTTTAGGAGGCTGAAATCATGTCATACTGATCCTAGTTCATGCATCCATATCTAAGAAATATAGTTCAACCAGTGTAAGGATCTATATGCCGAATAAGATGTTCTATGTATATTCTCTTTATAATTGCACTCCTACGAGAAATTTGAGAATCTCGAAAAATCATCAATTTTAGCTAGTTAAGATACAAGTGATCAAATAGAATTATTGCTCCTGAACTTCTGTAAATTATGTTTTGCACAAGTTGGACCCCCTCAATTTTTTTAATTCTCCAACTTTGTTGCTCCATGTACAGAAACTTGATTCTCTTAAAATACTGCCCTTATGAATTACGCGGCAGCATTTGTATGTATTCTCTGGTGTTGACAGTAATTAGCCACTAGACAAGGCCTAAACCAAAAGGAACGGTACGTTTCCTCTTCAAAATCTTATGTAGAAAACGATCAGCAGAAAGTTCAGATATCAACTCCTGAACAAGACACTAACAAGGACCAAAATCTTGTTTGTGTACGGTAGACCACACATTGTGGAACCTAACTACTAAATGTAACTTTAATTAGGGAAAATTTTATGTTATAAACTCAAGCTACGCGCAAGTTTAGCTTTTTTGACAGTCAGCCAACCTTAATTTCTCAATGGTTCCAACCATTAATCAGCGAACGAATAACGATGCTGACATTTTCACCACAACTTTCAGCCTTACATCAACTGGCCAACAAAATTTGGACTATGTATATTGAAGACAGATCAAACAGAAGTTAGAACATACAATTGACTTCATTTGTATTTTACCCATTCACCCAATGTTGATCGTGAACTTGTATATATTGTTTAGGAGTTGATGTTCAGACTTCCTTCTGTCACGCAATTTGTTTTTCTCTTAAAATTTTGAAAAGAATACATGCTATGTGGCACCCTAATCAATTTCTTGTCAAGAGGCCTGTTATAATCAGAGAGCAGGGATTTTTTATGTTTGTTAAAGTGACTTTGGCACATGCTGCTACTTATCTTTCTCAAAAATCTGTTTAGCAGATTAATTTATTTTTCTAAGAAAATTTTTCCGCATTTAATCCCATACCAAATGGAGATTCTGCAAGTTGGCGCATCTGTTGTCAAATGTCAAAGAATATGTCATGGGAACAGTTCAATAAAAAATTTGTACTGTGACAATAACCTTGGAAATTTTTTTTGAAGTCTTTGATTTCGTTAATTAGATCTCCTTGATAAGTCTTTAAGAGCCCTGATTTTGGTTTTAAAAAGCTGTCATTAAACCGTGTCAGCAGCACTATCTCATTTTGTCGAATAGAAGAAATTATTTATTGAAAAAGGAGAGTTCTATATCAGTCACCTAGGTCAACAGTGCCTAACTGCATTTTAGTGATTTCGAGATATTAGGGAAAAACCCTGCATCCGCCCATTGACTCCAATATAAATCGCAATTTTTGAAACTCTAAAACTCATAACTGGTGTAAGATAAGGCTACTAAATTTTTCACACACACATAACCGTGATTAGAGATTTCCATTAATGCCACAAGCTCGATTTTTCCAATGATGTGAGTTAGGAACCTTTTGTCTCTAAGGGACTGATATACAAACGCATACTTAAGTAGATATGCTGTCTCATCCAAAGTCTTAGTAGATGGATTCGTTTTTCCTCAAGTCAATGTTAAAAAGACATTCATAAATTTCTTAGTAGAATTATTGATAGGTAGTATAGCAAGGTTAAAGTCAAGAAGCTCATTGCAATTTTATTAGACATAAAACCCTCCAAAATCCATTCAATTGTGATTGAAATGTGAGGCAAGTCATTCATATTGAACATCGTTGAAAGTTTAATATAAAAAAAATTAACAAAACTAAACGTTAACAAAGATATAAAGGGTGACAATGAAGGATAGAAGGTTGAATGGAGCAAAGAGAAAACTGACAAAGAAAAAAAAAAAGAAAACTTAAAGACTCTCAGTCATCTTACAAGTGTATTTGGTAGGTATTAGGATACGATACATGTTAGAAAAATGCCTAGCAAAAATGCCACAGGTAAAATAGAGAACTTCAATAGGTGGTTCAGAGGTACATTGAGGATACTTGGATCAATTCACTCATCTTCCCAGTTTTCAAAGTGATGTCAAGATTTATAAAGGAAAAAAATATATATTTTTACAGACTTAGCTCTGAACATCTTGACTACTTTTATTTGCGCCTCATCGGGGCAGAGAGAACATTTGTGCAGATTCCTTTAAAAATATGAAGGAATTTGCTTCACACTATGCAAAAAATTCAGTGAAATTTGCACAAAAATCTGCACAACCGTTTTCATGTTAAAAATTAAATTGCCCAATTACATTTGGCAACAGCTAATGTGGCTTGGTTCTTTTCTGCTTAGCGCAGTCCCTATGTTAAGGATACATTACAGCAATTTTTGGAAAAAGTTAAAGATTTAATTGCTTTCATTCAGCTTTGCAATTGAATTTTTTTCTTCTTTTTTAGCTTGATATTTCCTGATATTATACGTTAAGTAAAAACTGGAGGAATGTGTGAATCGATCTTAGTATCCTCAATTGACTTCTAGACTACTTTAAGTGTAGGGGACACATCACTCAAAAATTGTCCCCTTGTGAAATTCTTTCAGAGGTCAGTTCGAAGATACTAATAACTACGGAACTTTATCACACATCTTTAAAAATAACCTAGAAAGATCAAAGTAAGCTAGAAAACTAACCAATTGCCATCAGGTGCTTGGATACAAAAAAGAGAGAAAAAAAATCAGACAAATTTGCCAATAATTTTGACTGTCTGGGTTTTATTAGACAGAGGGAGGGGAATCAACTTGATGCGTATGGAAAAAATTCCATAAGTAGAAAAAGAAAAAATGAAGTAAAATAAAATACCAAAAAATAAAATCTGCGGAAAACACAAACACAGCACCAAAGCAGTTTCCTTTCAATTATCTTCATCTGGTTCCCTTTCTCCCCAGTTGAAACCTCCTGGCCGATCTTCCATCGAGGGGACGTAATCAGGGTCATCTGGATTGCCATCAAGAAGGTTTTTCCTGCAGAGAAAAATTTGTGGATGAGAGAAATTTTGGTATAACATTACCAGGGTATCTGCCAATTATGAAAAACCAAAATTGGGGACTTTTAGGGGATTTTTTTTAGAAAATTGGGGACAGTTTTCCCCGAAATAGTAAGAGAAAGGGAGCTAGGTAATTAGAGCGTTAAAAGGCGTATTTTATGATACTAATTTCAAAAGTCATGTTGAACCAGAGACAAGAGACCCTCCACTAGTAACTTGGCCATGGTGGAAGCTTTTACTTTCGGGACTTCAGCATTCTACTGTTGACTCACCTACATGGTTGATGTTCAACAACGTGTTGGCAGTTTCGTTTTGCAAACAAGCCGAAAATGGCTGACGTTTGGGAAAGTTGTTTGGCTTATGACGTCATCCGAAGCTCATCATCGACCATGTAGGTAAGTCAACAGCCGAAAATAGGGTGATGACTGTTGCTTGCTCATATTGTCCATAAGGAATTGTTGAAACCCCGAAAGTAAAAGCTTCCACCTGTCGCTAGGAGGCCAGTGGAGGGTCTCTTGTCTCTGTGTTGAACCGATGAAAACTTACGAAAAACCAAGCAACACGTGGCTGGCGGGAAAATTTGAAAATGCAGGTGTTCAGGACGATTTTTGTCATTTTTTGGGGACATGAACAAGAAAATTGGGGATACCAGGGACACCCTTCCAAAATCGAAGATAATCGGAGACGTTGGGAACTTTTGGGGACCAGTAGACACCCTGATTACTTGACTTATTTTTCTTGAACATATTTTTTACTAGATACTACTACCATCGAAACAAAATTTTTAGGAATAATCATTTCCCTGGCTATTTCCAAACACTCTTCTTCCTTTTAATGCCACTATTAGCACGTTGTTAACACTTGTTGATGGTGAAACTCCCAAACCATATATTTCGGTTTGTGGCGTAGCAGACTTCCTGTGATACTTTATTTTTTAATGGAAAACTACTCAATGTAAATTCTTGAAAACTACCGTGATTTTTCTTCTTGGTGCAAAGCAAATTCGGAGAGAACTTTAAGGAATGATGTTGATTTGTTCTCCTTTAAAAAAATCTAACAAAAGCAGAGATTTTTAAACCCGCAAAGGGGATATGTGGTTCAGGAGTTTCACCGTGGACATCCATTTTTATTGCATACACCCTGAGCCATGGGTGTGTGTACAGCTCCCAAAGCTGTTCATGTTCATACTCTACAGTCCCTTCTTGTAAATGAAAATGAGAATTTGGATGCGAACTGTCTGTCAACGAGGATAAAAACTACTTCTCCATGATATTTTCAGCATCCGAGTGTCACAAATAAAGGATCTAAATTTAGCCGATAAATTTCCATTAAGATAGCAATAATTAGTAAATTCAAGTACTTTGTGAATTGGAACTTACAAAAACTGTGGGGTCACTAAAACTTTGAATCCTCCTGGCTGACGCGGAAAGACATCCTCCAAGTAGTAATACACATGACCGACAGCCATCCCCATTAAGTCAACCCAAACTGTGTTGCCCAATAAAACTGAGAAACCTAGGAGGACCCAAGGCAAGTATGGAGCCTAAAACAAAAAATAAATGTGAATTAGCATAAAATGTCCTCTTGATTAAAATGCTCCAACTCTTCCGTGCAAGCAATACAAGCTACTACTTAAGATTTATGCTTTATAAAAGCGATCATGATGTACAAACCCAAAAAACAAATCAAAATGAACGCTGAAAGGTTTCAGGACACCATGGTTCCCTCTTCAAGGCTGTAATGCTGACTCAATGCATCAGCATTTATATGTGAGTTCGAGTTTTTTAATTTTTCCACATTGCTTCATGTAAATTTTAAATAAACCCTTTTGATTGAGCGTACTCATGGTGTGACGTATTCAAATAAGGTCAACGTCTTTCAAGTTATCATGTACCTAGAGAAAGGAAGATGAAAAAACCCAGTCCTAATTGAATATTGGTGGGGTAGAATAGAATTTAATAAAAGCAAGAAGAAATTGGTCTGAATTTGATCGAATCTCACATTGTTTAGGCATCATAAGTACAGAAAAAGTACCATGTCATTTTCACTGATGGTGATTTTTAGGTGATAAACACCTTAAAAATATTTGGTTGGATTAAAAATCTTTAAAATTATGTCTTTACATCATTTTTCCCTACCTTTGACTCATCACAAATTTAAAAAGATTGATTTCTGTAAAGTGTACATACCTGAAAGTTGAGCACACCAAAAAAGTTTAGGCGAATGTACGGGTTCCGTTTGGACCAGATGTAAACTAGCATTATGGTAAAAGCTTGACCTAAAAACATTAAATGTACAAAAAGAGCAAAAAACTGAACAGAAAAAGTTAAGGAAAATTCATCGGAAGTAATTGTAGAACAACAAATTAAGTAATTAATGCAATGAAAAATTAATAAGCTGAACGACGTCTTAAGTCTTACTGGAATTTATCTCTTCAAATTTTGTCATTTTTCATTCACACCTCCATGAAAATAAGTATCAAGCGTATGCTTGTTTGGTAGGCGCTAGTATATTAATTGCACACTTTAAGCTGCAGTTTTGCGAAGCTTATAAATGTTTCTACTGCTTCAGATAGATTAGATTCTCATAATTTTGTGAGAACATATTTTTCTTTCAAACTCAGTCCCTTTTTTTAAGAAATGTGATGCTTCAGATATTGATCTTACCATGAATTTTTTAAAATAAATGATAAAAATGTAAGAGAGTGTTGGTCAAAGGATACAATCATACTTATACCACCAAATAAAAACATAACAACAAAATCAGCAGTGCGGCCCCGAAAAGAGCCCTCCTCTAACATACGACAGTAACGGAACGTGAAGATTAAGTTGAAAAAAAAGGTAAAATTGACTGTGCCATAAAAGAGGAACGTTGTGATCAGCCGCCAGAACTGGAAAAGAAATGGTTCATGTTAAAGGAATATTTGAATGAGCTTAAAAATATTTTGAACAAATTCAGAGGGAAAAAAATTGAGGATAGAAATATCTTGGTAGCTCTCTTGTCTTTTCTGCCATTTTATTGAGAGAGACAGCCATTAAAAGAGACTACACTCAGCTAGTTAAAAATGGTCCCTCAGCTTTGAGTCGGGAGAAAAATGGGTATTAATGTTATGACACCATAACTGAGAATCATCATCGAATAATTCAAATCAATCATTTAAAATGATCGTGAAATTTAGATCGCCCTCAAGACTTCCAAAAATTAGTGCCTTGACTGTACAGCTATTTAGCTTTTTTTTCTTCTTCTTTTTTGTTTTTCACTCTACTTATATTGACACCAAGTTAAATGAATTACATATGAGACTGAGCTAAGTAGGCAGTGGTGCCAATCGTCTGATATGATCTCTTTTGTTTTTGTTATAAAATGTTTATGTTTTACTACTTTTGCCGCACGAGGCTAGATCTCTTGGCAAGTTTTTTTGTAGTGGCTCTAACTTAATTACTGTATTATGTATTTTCTTCAATAATAAATGAAATCTGAAATCTGTACAGATCAAAAATATTTGCATGAAGATAAATTAAAAATTGTCTGCATACTTATGACTAAAGTATGAGTGATATACATGAACATGAGACTGTTATGAATGCTTTGAAGAAATCAAAACCTGCGTATACCTGATATTGTCTGGCAATTAATTTTGGGTTGAAGTATAGCTGGAACGGTGATACCAGCTCCAATTGCTGAAACAGAAAAGTAAAATTAAATAATGTACTTTTTGGAAACAAGCAACTGGTATGTATTTTTTATTCTTCCTGGACTACCCATTAAAGAGAACTGGCTAAATGCAATTGCTCTCTCTCTCTCTCTCATGTTACTGCATCTATCTCTCCGATTAGCAACCTCCAGCAGTGCGTAAAGAATGAAAGAAAATGCGAGGTAGGTGAATAGTAATTAAAGAACGCATACATCGACATTGAGGAATACTTGATTATTTGGCATTTCATGAACTGCAATAAACTAGGCAGTTGGTCCAGAAGATAGAACAAAACTTTCAAATGAAATTAGATGGATTGAAAGTATATTTTGACCTCTATTACAAAGAATCAGAATACAGTGTCATTCTCCAGCTGGAAAATCAAGGTTTCCTTAGAAGGGAGAGAGATTACTCTCAGATACGCAAGAGAGAGGCGGCAATCAGATGTTAAAAAAATTAGCAATGCAAATAAAGGAGGCCATCTACGGATGAAGAAGATCTTTATCCTCCCCTAATGGAACCCTCATTTGTCTCACAATGTTCCAAGTGATGACCATCCTTCAGGATTATGATGACGTACTATCTTCACTTTCAAACTGATGTAAGTCGACCTTGACATTCTTCATGCAACCAATCAAAACCTGCTAGACATGGTCGAGAAGTTCCTATTCTCTTGAAGCCATCAGTATACTCCAACAAACCACTATAGTCATGACCAAATGCTTGATTTAGAGCAGTGCTGCAACGCAATCTTCAACACCGATGGTATCGTTCACAACTAAAAAACTGAGCATGGTGCCTCAAAAATTATAATAACAACAAAAGAAGACCCTTGGGAATGGAAAATCAACTGCTGAGGTTGAGACGCTCTCATCTCTCAACGGAGGAGCTCTTCATCAACTCAAAGATGTGACACATATAAGATAGTCTCAACTTAACAAAGTTGTAACAATGCTGTTCAAATACTCTTTACAGAACACTTCCACTAGCTGATCAATTCCTTTTACCTGGTCTAACTGGGCCTTATGCCCATGCTTTTTTGTGAATCTGACGTTACTCCCAAATTGACCGAGTTTTGCCTATTTTGCCCAAAAGCTATTGTAATGTCTGCAAGAATGGTGAATACATTTTGAAGCATGCATTTCCCAATAAGATGGAAAAATCGGTTCATTAATGCTTAGAAATGACACAAAATAGACTTACCACTGCTATTGTGGTGAGGACGCATGCTGTTGTGTAAGCCCGCGTCACTGGGGGCATTTGCAGATATTCTTGACGGAATGTTTGAAGAGCCATTTTTCAAAGAAACGTGCTCGATAGCAGGCGAAAAATTAAAAAGGGACTACTTAATATACACTCGAACGGAAAAGATTCAAGCTAGTCATTGTTATCAGAAAGTTTTTCAAGGAGATCTGGAAACATCATCGTTCCTGCTTGGACATATCAACATAGTTCCTGGATAAGAATACAACAAACCACATTATTATTAAAACTTTGAGTAATGAAAGAATTGAGACGGGCAAGAACTTATATAATAATATTCAAGAAAATTAAGGATTTTGACTTCACTCAAAAAAGTACACGTATTTCAAAACAAACAAAATTATTCGAGAACGATGTTTGTTTTGAGAGAGGACAAAGATTACGACCAGTGGGAAAACAAAGATTATCAAAAAATCTGCTTCAATGCTACCTATTGGCGAACTGGTGCATTTACGATTGGCGCAAAATTCAAATAGCCACACATGTGTTCTCATCGCGGGGTTGCAGTTTTTCATGAACGATAAAATCTTGATATTTTTTAGTGAAACATCTCATGATATTTCAGATATTAATGGAACATATTGAAAAATACGTTGAGAATATATATTTTCGACTTAAAAGCTGAGGAAAGATTAAAACGCAGTTAATGTCATTTCAGTAGAAATCATAAATGGCTATTGTAGGTACGTTTGCTTTCCGTGTTCCATAAATACAAAAATCGTTCCTTTTTTGCACTGTAGCTGTGTTTTTGAGTTCGGATGACATATGTACCTACTGTAGGTACCTAGCCCCTGACAAATATGAAATATTTCACGGATATATCCATTCGTTCAAAATTTTTTATGTAACTTGTGCAATTTGCGTATCCGACTAAATTTTGCGAAGTATAATTGTAATATTTTGGGCTCATTTCAGAAACAATGTATGCGTCATTCATTTCTCGATGCACATAGGCGATTTGCGGAGTAGACAGAAATAATAGTTCCTTGTTACAAAATGTGGTCTTTATCTATCCTAGCACATATTATGAAGGGTTTGGAGGACAAGGCGCATAAGTGCAGATTTTGCTATTGCGAGAAATACGTGTTTGAGGTTTCAAAATAGCATAGATCCCATGGCGAAAAGAAAGATCAAACCGACTTTTTGATGCTTAAAAATCTGTATTTGGGAGCGAATTTTTCACAGAATATGCATTAAGATTAGTAGGTATTACTTGAAATCATTAACATCTTAATTTTTTTCAAAAACTGCACTTATGCGCCTTGTGCCCTCCAAGCTCCTCATATTGAATAGGCAATTGCAAGAAAAAAAGAAAAGTGGATGAAAATTTCGTAACAATTCAATTGCTAAAAAAAAAAGTAACCGCATAATTTTTCAACGTAGATTTTACAACCAAAAAATGCTACTTTAACCTCTAATGCAAGCTAATTTAACCACGGGCGTCGTTAACCCTTTGTTGCATGAGCTAATCGTTGATTTTAGAGGGATACATTGTGCAGTATTTTTTCGACACTAGAGTCGGTTGGAATCGATTTTTATGGTTTTGTCTAAGCAAGGAGATCAGACATATAATGTTCCCAAAAAATTATTTCTTGCTTTGATTCAATTTACATAACTTCAGCATGGAAATAAAGCTGAAAACCATGTGTTGCTTTCATAAAACGCTATGCAATAAAAGGTAGTAGAATTTTTGTGTTGTGAAATCTACATTAAAATAGTGCAGTCACTTTTTTCAGCAATTGAATTGTTAAATCAGCAATTGAATTTTTTCCGTGTACGGGGAAAAAGCTTTTGTCGCAGGGATAATGGAACTGTTTCTGAGATTGATTTCTGCGAAGTCTGATAATAAATGATAATTTAAGTTTCTGGAAGACACTCCAGTTTTTATCCCTAAAAATAGGCTTACCTATAGCTCAATGTTTAATGTTTAAAACTTTCAATCGAAGATCGTGTTTTCTTGTCGATGAATGTTTCGAACGTGGCCAAACCACAGTGCAAGCAGTTATTCCTGCTCATGAGTCGTTCATCTCATAGAGAAAAAAAAGGAGGTGTTTGCATTTCGGGCATGATTTGATGACGTAGGTCGGTACAGCGACGTTTAGCGTGAAGGGGACGTCGCTGTACCGACCTACGTCATCAAATCATCAAAAAATTCCAAGATGCCCGAAATGCAAACACCTCCTTTTTTTCTCTCTGCGCTCATCTTGCCGGCTCGAATTTTGAGGACGAAGCAGTTGGAGCGCAGGCCGCTACTTCCAGCTTTTTCATTGATGCGCGAATAATGTGGAAACCGAATGAAATGTTTCAAACGTGATGTAATTGCGGCGAGCGACTACCTATCTCTGCTTCAAAGCCGCTCAAATTGCCTGCTCAAGTTTTGAAGGCGAACCGGTTGGGAAGAGAGCCATTGCTGTAAGCGCTGTACCTAATAGTGTTCAAGCACGCTTCAGGGATTTGTGATCCAGGCAATTTTTCTTGCATGTAAAATTTCGGGGGCAACGCACGACGATGGCACTAGTTTTCTCTGAGCGAAACTTCGAAGCTCAAAATGAGCTCTCAAAGTTGAGATCGCAATGGAGAGGATCCTTGCGCTACGATGGAAAACCAATTTTCTTACTCTGGCGTTTAGGTCTCCAAAAATATTCATCAAGGTGATTCGTCGAGCTCAAGTGACGTGGTCGAACTGGCATCTGATATATCGCATCGATTAGGTAAAAAATCTCAATTCTCAAATTGTCAGGAAGTTCTTGCAAAACTGCGATCGAGGTACCTACGCATTTTCGTAATCAAATCGTTCTGTCTCATCATGAGCCCATGTGGCTTTTTGGAGAAAAAATCAAGATCCTTCGGCAAAAAATCCAAGTACTTGCTGTCAAATTAAATAAATCAAACCTACTCGACAACACCTCATTTTGTTTCAGAAGATCTTCACTGATGGAGTTCCTGGATCCACGCTTGGATAAACTGCTGCGTCCGCGGCACACTCGCTACTTTCCGGGACATCGAATCGTTTTTCAAATAATAGCAGTGTCCCAATATAACATCGTGAATTTTTTTACTTCCGGTTTTCTTTCGGTTGGTCAAAACGAAATCCACGAAACTGAAGACGCACGCCCACAAGTACCACAAAGTGACTGAAATGAACATGGTGGAAAGAAATGAATAGAGCGGGTCAGCTTATTGCTATATTAACGGGCTAGTATACTGATAAGATCATTATCAAATCTTTTTTTACACACTTACTGTTAAATTTTTTTTTCTCTCAAGAATTTTAAACACCCATTTTGTTGTACCTCTTAAAAGAGCAGTATGTGTAATTAAGAAAAGATTTTATACTCTTCGAGGAGAACAAAAAATTAAAAATTAATAGTGCATTTAATAGCTTAGGCGGGAAACCTATGTCTCTATCCCTAATCCTTCGAAAGATTTTTTTTTTACGTGTATCCTCTGCTTCAAAACACTTAAAGTAAAGATTACAGTTTTTGTACGCATGATAATTTTTCACATTCTACTCGGTTAATTAGGAGGTCGTAGAGAAATTTATGTTTGCGTGGAATGACCGTAACAACACTGAATACATTAGTTGAAGGCGCAACGTGCAACTATTTCAACCTACAGGAGCGCATATTGCCTATCCGATCAGTTGAAGGCAATTTGCAAACACATTTCATTCCCAAACGGATAAACTCTTTTTTGATGCAACCTTTGAGCCGGCAAAGTTGCTGAGCTGAAAATGCTGGAGTTACTTTAAGCACAGGTGGTTGTTCTTCGTTTTTTTTCTCCTCTCTCTTTTTTGCTTATGATGCACTCTGAGAAAAAAAATTGGGAATAGACGTAGCAGAATGGGACTGGACAAACGTCACTGAAGTTGAGGTCATAGGTTACTTTTCTAACTTTCTGTGGTATCAAACGATCTCTACGTCGTAAATTGTAACGCATGCATTTATATTTTCCATACTTTCTTGATACAAGAGTAAGTATATTTTCTATCCTTAGCTCTTTAACCCTCGCTGCCATTTCAACGGAAGTCTTCAGAGTACGGGGATGTTGAAGTTATTTTAATACCCCCGTGTCAAAACACAATCGTTTCAATTTGTTAATCATTCTATACTAAAAAATGACGACTTTGCGTCATATTCAAAGGATATTGTAAAAAGAATTTATTCGGATGGTAAAATGTTTCGTGTGCGATTGCGATAATTGAAGGCGCAACGCGCAACTATTTCAACCTGCAGGAGCGCATATTGCCTATCCGATCAATTGAAGGCAATTTGCAATTTTCCATTTTCCAACCGGATAAACATATTTTTGTTGCGACTGTTGAGCCAGCGAACATGCTGAGCTGTAAGTTAGATTCACTTTAACTATACACGTGTTCTATTTTAGATTCCTTTAATTTTTGTTTTATCTTTGTGGATGATGCACACTGAGAAAAAAATTGGAAATAGATTTAGGAGCCAAATTCATGTTTACATTGAATCAGTTGCTTTTGATAATTATGATAATGAACAAGAGGACAGTCAAATATAAAAGTAAAGTAATTTTGCCGCTAAAAGGCAAATTACGTATACTGTGGAAGCGTAGCTTTAGGTAAGATGATATCGACTGGGATAAGGATATTATTTCAGTGGACATTTTCAGTAAAACACAGCGTTAAGCTATGGAAACTGCCTTCCCAAAACTTGGCTGCTTTTTATATGAAAATTTTCAATGGATTTAGGCGCACACTCTGAATTTTAATTCTTGATTTTCTTTTCCTCATCATTCTACGGAGCTTTTATACTTAAAAAAATATATAACACTGAAATCTGGTTGTTTTCTACAAAATTTGGTTAATTATTTTTTACAAAATTGCTTAGTCAAGGAAAAACGTCGTACGAACCTTCAAACGTTGCCGAATTTCCTTTGATAAAACACGAATATCCTCGTAACCTTATAAATAATAACAAGAAGAAGAAAACAATTTCAAAATGTGGCCCGAACTGTATGTAAAAAAGTGGTACTACTCAAGATGGTACCCTCAGTACTCATTAGAGTTCAATTTTTCGTCTCTAATTGAAATGTTTGAACTTTTAGGCCTTGTTTTCCCCGCAAACTATACCATACAAGTAACATGGGCCCATACCCACCACCATTTTACCACATTCTTATGAATAGTTTTCCTCCACCTCTTTCGATAATTTTTTTTTAAAATTTAACCTATACTTTCTGAAAATTTCAAGGAAAAATGTCGATGACTTTCTTCATACATAGATATTTTATCGTGTGAATTCAACAGCATTCGAATATTCGCACGGAGTTCTTCCTTAGCACGGCCAAAAAACCCTTAGCTTATACTTACTGAGAAAAAC